GCTCAAGTAATATAATGATGAGTGAGTATCGTCTCCACAGGGATTGGGTGAAATCACAAAAGTCTAACCAAAGCAATGTAATATTCTATCTAAGAATAGTTAGTCTTGATATATACAAATGTCACGGAAATGGATATGTGTATGCTGGTGGATGCGGATTGATGGTGTGATGGTGTAGCAAATGGAAATGAAGTGGAAATGATGGATGTTTAATGTTGAGTATGGTGAAATGTTGAGGCAATGAGAAATGGTAAAAACAGTAAATAAAAAGATAAATAAAATAAGAAGAAAATAATCCTCACTTGACAAGCTTCCAATGAAATGAATGGTAAGGATTGGTCTAAGGTTGCTAAACTTATTTCTCAAGTATATTTAAGCTAACTGGTCTTTACTTACTCGACAGGGCTTTCCTAAAGTGTTCAAAAGAACCTAACAGAATAGGATGCCAAGGCATCTGCTCTCACTCAACGATGTTGGACAGCCTACCCTATTGATAAAGACACCCTTTTTATTCGTTGAAATCCTATCCTAGTCTCTTCCGAGATCTAAGGGATTAAGTTATAATATTCCTAGGCCGGTTCAAAGCCCCTTGAAAATACCATAACCCATTGCTTATGAGGATCTTATCTTGCGTTTCTTCCGAATACTTACAAGTATTTTTAGTTTAGGATTCTTCCGAATACCTAACCTTCATCTAAGAGATGGACATTTCCATGCCTCTTACAAGCCTAGATGGTGAAGCATTCATAAGCAAAGCAAATAAAGAACCAAAATAAACTTAAATATACTATTGAAAATAAAGTTCAAACAACCATTCAACCAACCACCACCAAATAAGTTAGTTCATGGTGGGTCGAAATATCCAAACACAAAGTCATGAAAATTCGTTCCAACAACCCACAAAATAATATAAAAATAACAGTAAAAAGGGAAGTGAGAAGAAGCCTTCGACGCGCCACCGAAGGTCTCCTCTCGGCCACCACGAACCACCTAGCTCGCTAGCTCCTTTCGGCGCCTAGCTTGCCACTCCTTGGAGCTTAATCAATGGAGGAATATTCCAAGGAAAAAGAAAGGAAAAAGAGAAAATAAAAATCTGAATTTTTTGCTCTATGCGTGTGCTCACCGTCTTTCTCTCTCTCCCATGAGGTGTCATATATAATAAATAAAATATCTAGGGGTAATGATGAGTTTGTTGGGTACAAAATACCCCTCATACCCCTAGAATCACATTTTGTGCATGAATCTTATCCTCCAAGTGGTAGTGGTCCATTGGTAGCTCTGGCAGGCGGTTACAGCAATCTTTCACATGCAGAGACAGCTATTCAGTGCCAGCTGTCCTTATGCAGAAATATTTTTTTGTCTTTTTCTACGCCAGAAATGCCAAGGCATTTCAATCTGCTTTAGCAACGTGTGATGCCGCGGCATTACTTCCCAAAGAATCCTTTTTCTTGCTATTCCCTGCACACCATAGACAAACTGCACCTTTCCCTCAAACAACACCATTAAGAAATAAAATAGCACAACCACCACAAATGCAACTATATGCAACTACATGATCCTAAAATGACTAAAATGAGCTTTTAAACAAATAATAACTTAAGTGAAAAAGGCTTTAAAAGTAGCCTTTTTAGGAAGTTAACAGTTCTGCTTCAGAAGAATCTCATTGTTCAAACTCCTTTTCCACATGTATATGTGTAGTCTCTGACTTTTCAGCACTACCATCTTCTTCTTTTATTTGTAGCTTATCTTCTACAAAGATAATATCTCTGCTGATGATCACTTTACGGGCAGTGGGATCCCATAAACGATATCCCTTTACACCATCAACATACCCTAAGAATATGCATTTCCTGGATTTTGGATCTAACTTTGAAATTTATTGGGAGTTGTACATCACGTACACAATACTTCCAAATACATGGAGGTTTGAATAATCAGCTGGTTTACCAGTTCACATCTCCATTGGTGTCTTTAGCTCTATTGCAGTTGATGGAGCTCGATTCACCAAATAACAGTCAGTATTGACTGCTTCTACCTAGAATGATTTTTCTAGGCCTGCATCCTTTAACATTGCTTTTGTTCTTTCTAACAAGGTTCTGTTCATCCGCTCTGCCACTCTATTTTGTTGAGGAGTGTTCGCCACTGTGAACTGTCTTTTGATGCCTTCGTTTCTGCAAAAGTCATCAAATTCTTCGCTGGTGCTCCATTATCTGTTCTGAAACACTTGATCTTATTTCCAGAATCAAGTTCCACCCGAGCTTTGAAGTTTTTGAAAGTTGAAAACACATCTGACTTCTTCTTAATAGGGTACACCAACATCTCCTAGAGTAGTCATCAATAAATGAGACAAAATATTTTGCTCCGCCTAGGGATGTAACCGGTGCTTGTCATACGTCAGAATGAACCAATTCTAGAACACTTTTTCCTTTAGAATTTGACGTGTTGAATTTCAATCGATGCTGCTTACTTCTTATGCAATGCTCACACAAAGACAATGATGCCTTTGTTAAGCTTGGAAGTAGTTTTTGCTCCATAAGAACTTTCATTCCTTGTTCTGACATGTGTCCAAGTCTCTGATGCCATAGCATTGCAGAATCTGAACTACATGAGGAAACAGAGGCTTCTGCTTCTAGCAAAGTCTCTCCCTTCAAAATATACAAGTTTGCTGCTATTTTTTCACCTTTCAACACCACAAGCGCTCCACGAAACACCTTCATGATTCCTTTCTGTGTTTCAATCTTGATTGCATTATTATCCAACAATCCGTAGGATAATAAATTTTTCTTCAGGCCTTTCACGTGCCACACATCTCGAACAACTTTAATTGTTCCATCATACATCTTCAATTTGATTGGTCCCACACCAATGATCTCTAAGGCATGATCATTGCAACTATACATAGATCCTCCTGAGACAGGTTCATACTGATGGAACCATTCTCTTCTTGAGGTCATGTGATATATTGCTCCTGAATCAATGAGTCATATATCTGCAAATCTTTTTCTGCCTTCCACGGTGGTTGACTCTTCATAACATAGAGCATCTCCATCATTTGAAGTGTTTGCGGTATTGCATTGTGGATTGCAGTTTTTATTTAGACTCCAACAATCCTTCTTCAAGTGACCCTTCTTTCCATAGTTGTAGCACTTTAAATTCTTCTTGCTTCTTGACTTCGATCTACCATGTTTGTGACTGCTACTTTGGCCACGTTCTGTTGATCTCCCTCTTATCGTTGTCAACGCTTCTTCTTGTTGCAGATTTACTTGTCTATCTTCCTTATTCTTGCGACGATTTTCTGTTTGTAGAATAGCAGCTGCAACATCATCGAAGACTAGACTGGTGATATTAATGTTTTTCAAGTTGATGATGAGTTGATCATACGAATCCGATAGACTTTGAAGTAGAAGTTTAGCATGTTCTTGTTCTCCTATTTTACAGCTTAAGGTTGTAAGCTGAGAAAATAAAGTGTACAGTGTATTTAAGTGCTCCGTCACTGAAGTAGATTCTGGCATCCGGAGTGTGTACAATTTTCTCTTAAGGAAAATTTATTGTGCAGCGATGTGGCCTCGTACAGTTTGGTGAGATGATCATATATCTCTTTAGCTGTCTTCTTCTCCTCGATGCTTGACAATACTTCATCTGCTAATGTTAGATGAAAGTTTGCCATAGCATTCCTGTCCATTTCGATTCATTTGTTGTCATCTGTGAAATCCATCAGCCTTTCACTGATAGTTGCTAGACAACCGTCTTTCCTCAGGATAGCATTCATCTTCAATTTCCATAATGAGAAATTTCTCCAATTGAATTTTTAAATATCAAATTTCGTTGTCATAGCTTCTATTACGGATAGCTCCCACTATTTCACTATCGTGAATAGTTCTCTGGAACCTTAAAAGAATGGGTAATACCTTCTTACTTTCTTATGTTGGAGGATCCACCTTTTGGTGGCAACCACAAAGACAATAAGCATATATTACACACTCAAATCTGGCTCTGATACCAATTGTTGTGAAAGACGGTTATCGAATAGAGCAAAATTGCAACTGATAATTTGAGAAAATAAAATATGAAGATAAAAGAGACACAAAATTTACGTGGAAACCCCCTAAATAATATAGGATAAAAACCACGGGCAACGGTAGAAGAATTTCACTATGAGAAAATAGGAATTATAACTTCTCTCGATCTACCAAGGAGAAAACAATGATAATTCTCTCTTAATAAAAATGAGAAAACAACTCTCAAGAAACTCTCTGAATTCTCTCTAGTATTAGAAGAAAGCTAGAATTATTTGGAATGGTTTTGAAGCGAAATGAGCTAGGGTATTTATAGTTGAAGCTTAAGGACTAATTTATAAATATCCTAAATTACAATGGCTAAAAATGATTTTATCATTTTCCAAATTTCAACATAAAACCAACCCTTTTTTGACAATTGTTTTTTTCCGTGGAATTTTTTTATATCACCTTTAGGTGATTTGCAAGACTTTTCAACAGTTGTATGGTCTTAGATAGACACGCATGAAATAGTTCGCCAAACTTCACGGTTTTCTACTCAAACAAAATTCCAGGTTTCCAATTGTTGATAGTTTATTATTTGTATATACTAAGGTTAATGTTGTTCTTTATGTCGTGTATGTAGATGACATATTTAATTATGAACGATTTTTTTAAGTGTTAAAATTGGTGTGTTTAAGTGTTTGATTTGGATGATTTTTTTTAATTTATTTAACTTTTCAAGATCTATACATTGACACGGAACTTAATTATGATAATATCGTTCAAAATTGTCTACTTAGAATCGTCTTGAAGAGAGGGTCATGATATATGTAAGTTATATTCTTTTATTTATTGATTTGATTAATATTATTATTGCTATAATCATTTAGAGTTTAATATTTTAATCTCTTATTATTCAACCTCTAAAAGAATATATTTGAAAAGTTAATGACTTTTAAAGAGAACATATAATATATTTAAAAAAAGGATAATTTCATCGATGATACATATATTATATATGTCTACATGAGAACGATTTCCCTTTCAAAGTTATTGATGGCTCATGTGCATTCTTGGCGGCCTCCATTGCCTATGCCTAGTGGATGCTGCACGTTTAAAAGGAGAGAAAATGAATGTAAAACGGACTTGAAAAGCACATACAAGAAAAAAAATTAGATATCACTACAAGAAAATATACCTTTAATGACACACGAACGATGTCACACGGTAATTTATGACTTGCAAAATATGTGTGTCATAAAAAATGTCATGTTTTTTAAAATCTGAACGATTTATGACTTACAATAATGCGTGTCATATTTAATAGTCATAATAAAAAAATTCAAAAACACGGAGTACAGTTTTAATTGTGTGTCATCTGTAAAAGTTGTCTTTTAATTTTCCCCCATTATTTTCATCCTTTCCCGCTTCTTCCCCCTTTTTCTCTTTTCCCTTTTTCTCTTTGCAGCAGTCCACTGGTTTGAAAACAAAATCGACGATACCCGCCCCATCCTTGACTGGATCTGCTCTTCCCTCCGCCCCTCCAACGTCTTCTCCCTATTCGAACTCTCCCTGTCAGTTCCCTCTCCATTTCTACTCTCCTCTATTTCTCTTTAGTTAGGAAACAAAATCGATAGATTAAACCCTCTATTTAGGCTATCATTGATGGAACCAATCTAAATTTGTGTAGCTACGAGCAAATCGTACAAGAAGGGAAGTTGTTGGAGGTCAATTTTTATTTATTACGTGTTATTTTGCTGCAATTTTTTAGGCAGAGCATTAATATCTGAGTTTTGTTTGATTAAATAGGGGGAAGACTTGGACTTTGCTTATGATAGCATTTCGGTATTCTCCTAGAGGAGGGATAATGAGGAGGCAGTTTTTGGAGCTGAAGAAGGATTAAAAGATATTAGGTATTTCTATTGCTTTATCGTTGTACAACACTAGCACACGACATTGTGTCATTATTGGCATTTCCTTTAATATTTTTCTTCTTGCTATATAAAGAGATTAAGCATGATGCAACTCAAGATTAAGCTGGTGATAACCCTGAAGACATTTAGCTAAGAGGTGGTGTTGGTGTGATATTTTTAGATGGCCTGGATATATCTTTCTTGATGTCGCGTTTTAGGAGAGGATTATATATTTGCAGTGTACTCCAGAATAGCTTGTTATACTGATGGATTTCTTTTTTTCTATAGGGATGCAAGTGCAGCGTATAAAGCTGAAGCCTTAGAGCTTCAGAAACATCTTAGGCATTTGCAGTCTCAGTTTGATATGCTTACGGGTCAGGCTACAACTTTGATCCATGGCAGACGGGCACGAGTTGCTGCTACATCTACCGCCAATGGACATCTTAACACAATAGATGATAGTCTCTCAGGAAGGAACTTGCAAGTACGTAAATCTAGCTTATCTCTTGTCACTTTAAATATTTGAAATTTTTTATGTTCAAATTTGATCAAACTGGGATGGAATGTATATCTCTGAGTTGTTGTTTATGTTGCATGACTTGGTTCTGCAGCACAGAGTATAAAAGGAATTAAATGAAAATTTATCTTAAAAGATAGCTTTTCCTTTTAATTTTTTTCATAGCTTTCTTCTCAGATGAAACTGTTTATCTGCTTTAACATTGAAGCAGTATTTATCCCTATTTTTCCTCTGTGATTTAGATGAATGAAGTTCTTGGAAAAATAGCATCTACAGCACAAGAGCTGGCACATTACCATTCTGGAGATGGTACTGTTTTCGTATTTTATTATGTTAAGTTCTATGTTGTTATGTTCATTTCAAAATGATGCATTTGATTTTGATCTAGTTGTGTAAGAGGCTGATCTCAGTATGGGTTTGATTTACGTCAATGAAGACTGCCTCTAACCCTGCCTGGTTTATAATGCTCTGCCTCATCCCTTATACCCATTTTGGAAGCCCATCAGTTTGCTTGTGTTACTTTGAATCTCATTGTATTCTACATTACGTTTGTAACTGTGTATTTGGTTCTTTTCATGGTGATAATATATTTATGTTGTTGCCTTGTTGGTTCTGAAAAACTGTCAAATAACAAATGGATATAGGAGCTTGAGATTTTGTGTGCTTAGCATTAGGGGAATGAAAGAATAGAGGGAAACTTTTCTAGTTGCATGCTTCTTGTTGATAAGCTTTAACTCATGATGTTTACATGCAGAGGAAGGTATCTACTTGGCTTATTCTGACTTCCATCCATACTTGGTTGGAGATTCATCCTGCATAATGGAGTTAAATAAGTGGTTTGCCAAGCAACTAGACACGGTATGATATGGAAATATCATTTTTTTTAATCTCATTTCTTTCTACTGCATAGTCTTCAACAATTTTATCATTAACTAATCATTTTTTTTTTGTTAAGCATTATTTTTCTCCCTAAAGTGTAAAACTCAGGGAAAAAATTCCTTGAAAAAATTTCAAGAGGAATTAGAGGTGTGCTTCCAGTTGGTTTGGTCAGTTTGGTTTTTATATTCCTATAACCGAATTAACTGGTTAAGCCATCTAAACCGAATTAACTGGTTAAGCCATCTAAACCGAGTATATTGAACTGATTTTATTGTTAAGACCGAAATAACCTAACCAAATTGAAATAATTGCATAAACTGAACTAATACTTTTTTTGTTTTTTAAGATTTATTTTTTATAAAATAAAAATTATCATTGTCAAATTAAACATATATGCAATTAATCAAATTAATTGGATAATTGGATTTGAGTTATTTCATGTTTGTATATTTAATTTCATATTTAGATTAAATTAATTAATTGGATATTTAAATTAATTATTTGGTCAATTCAATTGTGTTTGTATTTTAATTTTTAGGTTGGGTTTATATTTCGAGTATAGTTGGGTTGGGTTTTATATGGGTATTGGATATTTGAATATTTGGATGGGTATGAATATGAGTTTAGGGTTTATGTATTAATTATAAATTAAATCGGTTTATTTGGATAAAACTTACTAAATAAATCAAAAAACCAAATACATTGATTATTTTGGTTAAATCAGTTCTGTTTGTTTGGTTATTCTGGTTTAATCAACTTTTTCCTCACCCATAGGGGAGAGAATTTAAGAGTACGAGGCAGAAAAAGAAATCCTTCCCCAAAGGAGAGTAACAAAATGAAGCATTTCAATTTAAGCAGATTGTATATCATGTAATTCCTCTAATTCATTTGCATGGACACCACTCTATAAAGTATATAGTATGTAGTTTGGGCAGCTCACAAACTGGAACAATTGCATGTAGATTACCATCAGCCTCTTATCTCCATATGGCAATAGTTTTATTTGGATTTATTTGTAAAACCACATTAGTACTGAGAAATTGGATGAATGTGGGACCTGAGATCAATTCTTATATTTGTATATGAAAAATTTATAATTATTTTGAATGATTTGAGAATTTGCTTCTTATTTTTATAAAGACATTTACTAGATCTGTGTGTCTTATTTCTAGTTGATTATTCTTGCATATACATGGTGTATTTGTATCAGATTATTGCTTCTTGAGATATATGATTCTTAATCCCTTTGTTCTTATCTTTTCAACCAAGGCTGATTATTTTCCATTTTTTATTGCAAATATATGATTCTCCACTGGAATATCTAAACACTACCTCTCTTGCCCCAAAAAAGGATGATCAAACAAACATGTATCCTTAATCGTATCCCTACTACTAGGGAAAGTTAATGTCTTCAAGCATTAAGAAAGCAGCTTGGAACCTTCAGTTTTTTCTTTTCTAAATAACTTCATGTTGTATTGCAGATTGATTCATGGAGTTCTTCAGCTACCTGCGAACTCAGACTTGATGGTTGATGAAACACAACTAGAATCAGGAAGCCTCAACTCCATTGGAATTGAGAATACAAAGTTGCTGAAAAATTTGATAGAGTTTCAAACAGTAAGCTGCACTTGGTTTGTTGAAACATGAGTGCATGTTTGTGTCTAAATATACTGGATCAAGGAAGGTGTTTTCGGAAGTTTAATGTGCATATTAGGAATGTGTTTGTTCTATATATTGCAACTAGTTTTAACTGTTACAATTATTTTCAATTATTTCTTGTGTACACGCCCGGATGGTGAGGGCATATTAGAAGAACTTTATTATGCCGTGATATTTTGTATCGACATATGATTACAATATTTTTGATAACTTAATGTGAATATATTGTATGCAAATGGATTGCGTACATATAATATGATATATATATATATTTAGTATTATGAGGCATTAAATGTGATTTAGTTTGATTATTTTCAATCTACAATATATATATATATATATATAATTTAAGAAATACAATCACGACACAAGAATGTGTGTCATCTTTTTTAATGACGTGTGCTTCAATGACACGCAATGTAAGTCATACATGCGTGTCATAAATTTATGACACACAAATATGTGTCATCTTCATTTATGACGGGGGCTTCAATGACGCGCAATGAACGTCATAAATGCGTGTCATAAATACGCGTCATAAATTTATGACGCACAGTTGCGCGTCATCTTAAATTCATGTCGGTGGCTTCAACGACATGCAAATGTGTATCATCCGCACCCATAGATGACGCGCAATGCGTGTCATTAAAGGGGTTTTTTCTACTAGTGTATGAACACATTGAAAATTTATAATTTACAAGGTAATATCTACAGATTCAAACTTAGTTTAGGATGAGCATGTGTCTACCCAGAAATCTTAATTTTGTTAGATTAATTATCCATTTTATTATTTTGCATTCACTAAAATTTTATTTGCACCCACTCCATATGAACATTTTGTGTTGTTAATTGTGCATACCCTAAAAAATATTTTTAGATATGCCAGTGGTTATATATATTCAAAATGTTTTTAAATCATTAAGAATACATACATACCGCACACGCAATTATTCGAACTTTAGATCTCTAGAAAGAACAACACATCCTTTTATCACTGAAATCATTTAATAGATTTATATAATGTTAATGTATTAAAATGTGATGGGTGCATCAAATATATAGGGGAGAAAACATTACGTACTTGTGGCAATTGACGGAGGGATAAATGGGAACAGGGACATGGACTGCACAGAGGCCAGGAAGTTTCTTGGCTTTGTCGGCAATAACACCATAAGCAGGTGCATTCTTTCGAAAACACTCGCACAGATCCCTCCTTGACTGAGTGGTGCTAGCCGAGGCGTTGACAGTAGCCACGGCTTGGCAGCAAGCAAGAGTGGGCGAGGGTTCCGAAGTAGTCAGGTATGGCTTGCAAGGCATCAAGGTGGCTATGGCTTCTTCGCATGTCATTGCATGTGCTGCTAAAACCACTGCCAATAACCCTAAAATCGCCCCAAATGAACCCATCAATATGTTTTCCATTTGCCAAATATTTGAGTAATCCAAGGAGAGAATGTATGGTTGATTGATGGTAAATCCCCTTGTTGCTTATTTATAGGGCTGATTTGGATTCTATTATTAAAGCAAGTTTGATTTTTGGTAATCTCAAAATTACCATAAAATCTTCTTTCATTAATTACATTACCATTTTTTAATATCCATTATATAACTTTTGGAAGGTTAATATCTAAAACCAACTATTATAACATAGATTAGCGACAATTTAAAATTTTTATCTTAAAAAATTAATGGAATAATCATTGAGCGGTCCTCGAAATTTTTAATGTTTACTTAATAAGAATAATATAATTAGTGGTGTATTTTGATGTGTTGCATTAGTGGTATATTTCGGTGTGCGACGTGTACTGTAAACTCATCCATATTAGTGATATTATTGTAAGTAAAAATAATTAATTTTGAAACAAAAGTAATGTAATTAAATTTAAAAATAAACATAATTACAACTAAAAACTAGATTAACTAAAAAAACTTAATGCGATTAAACAAAAAAGTAATAAAATAGTTAAATAAAAATAATGATATTTGATAAACACAATTTTATAAACATAATTAGTAAAAATAATAAAAAAAATAATGTATAAAGAGATTTTTAAATAACTATTTAACATTTTAAAACATTATTAAAAAATAAAACCTATTATCATCATTCATCTGTTGGGAGCGGGGGATTTTGATTTTGTATTGGGCCTGGGCCTAGAGATAGCAACGCATCTGTTATTAGGGCTGCCGAAAACATAGTTTTATTTGGGGTAAACTATGAGTTTAGTACATAAATTATAGTTTTGGTCCGTTTTAATACCTAAATTTTTAATTTTTTCAAAATCATACTTAATGTTTAGTTTTTGTTTCATTTTGGTACTACGCCGTTAAAAACTTTACGGATAGACTGATGGGGCATAGCTTCGATGGACGAACGACCGATCCGAACGGTGAACCATGAGAGAATGATGAGTCGACCAACATAGTCCAATTTCAAGCCCATCAGACGGTTGACAAAAGAGATAGGATGATGAAGAATTCAAAGAGTACATCTTTGATTTGGGGAGATTGAGGCATTTTCTGGTGAAACGAAGGTCGAATCACATTTAAGGTTAAAAAATGTACAGGTTGGAAAGTTTGGGCTTAATTGGCCGACGGATGTGACCAGCCGATGACTTTAGACATGGAGATAGGCGAGTCCATCCATTAACTTTTTAGTGGCGGTATATTAAAATGAAACAAAAACTAAATATTAGATATGATTTTGAAAAAATTGGAAGTTTAGGTATTCAAACGGATTAAAACTGATAGTTTAAATACTAAACCCGTAATTTACCCTTTATTTGTTATGTTTTTACTTACAAAAAGAGCCAAAGTGGACAAAATTTGACGGGTCCGCCCGAATAGTCGAATACGTACACGTTTAAATGTTGAATAACTAAATGAAGAAAACACGTGGTAGGCCCTGTCCTTTCTATTTCTTTGTCATTGCGGTCCCCACACCACCATCTACAGCTGTCAACACTCACCACATTCGTAACCTGAGATTAATCTCCTTTTTTAAGTTTGGGTAAAATATACAATTTTTTTTATTAATTAAATTAGATTTAAAAAAACTATAAAATAAGTATTAAATTTTTTATTTTAGTACAAATAGATATTATATCGCTAGTTAAGTACAACCGAAGAGGATAATATATTACATTAAATTAATAGACAATATTTCATTTAATTAAAGATTAGTAATAAAATTATATTTTAATATTTTTAAATAATAATTCTAAAAATTTTATATAAAATCAAGAAAATTCTGATCAATAATTTAACGTATTTAGAGATTTCTTCCAATCAAATTATGCATTAAATTTGGAGTATTCATCAAACTTATTTACAAACGACTTTTATGAGCCACACTTCGATGTGCCAAGTTTGGCTTATCGAATTGATTAAGCTGATAACTAAAATAGAATTAATCAGATGTTATCAATAATTATTTATATATTTTATCCGTTAACTTTTAATATTCTTCCTTTAAAATTTACCACCATCATCGTCATTGTCACTATCGCTCACGTTCACATCACTTTGAAGGGTATTGTGTTATTTCTTAAAAAATAATTATTTAAAAAAACATTTAATTTTATTAAAAAAAAATCTAAATTACAATAGTAAATTAAACACATGATAAAGATATTCTTTTAAATAATTAACACAAAGAGCTAACAACTTAAGATCACAACAACAACAACAACAAAACCCAATTCCCATATGTATGGGGTAAGGGGGAGGTAGGGTAGTAGGCTACCCCCAACGCCAGGTTGAGAGTAACTTCCGTGGAAGACCTCCGGCAGTCAGAAAATTAAAAATTTAGATAAAATGCAATGCATGTATAAATAAATACATAAAAACATAGCTAAACAGTATTCATATGCAGTCATTAAAATCATATGTGCGTCTGTAACGGGAATTAATCCCTGCATAATAATCCCTGCGAAAGAATCTCTGCATATAGACATAAACATAAGATAAGATCCGGCTAAATTTAAAAGAGGAAACATGAAGAGAATGATACACAGAAGTCAACGTTAGCAAGCCCAGTTCTAATCCTTCATAAATACCAATAACAGAAACGTATAAAAAGTATAAGTCATGGAAAATACTACAAAGACATAAAGAAGACAGAGATGATACACCCTATAGATGTGACACACACTACTCGACTACCCTAGTCTTTAGCCTCCATATTTTCCTATCAGAGGTCATGTCTTCGGTAAGGGCTAAATCCCTCAAATCAGATCTCAAGCAGTCTTCCCACTTTCGCCTTGGTCGTCCTTTCCTTCTGGCACCGTCGACTGTAATCGACTCTACCCTCCTTACCGCATCCGACGGTAGTCGCCTAAGGACATGCCCAAACCACCGTAGTCTTCCCTCCCTCAATTTTTCGGAAACAGACACCAGCCCCAAGGACATCCTAATAGCAGAGTTTGTCGTCATATCCCTCAGAGTCTTACCACATGTCCATCGAAGCATTCTCATTTCTGCGGCCTCAATCCTCCTTACGCGATCCTTCTTGGTTGCCCAACATTCTGATCCATACAACAGCGCTGGTCTTATTGCCATTCTATAAAATTTTCCCTTAAGTTTTAGAGGGACCTTCTTGTCACACAGAACTCCAGTAGCGGCCCTCCACTTTAGCCATCCCGCCTTTATACGGTGTGTAACGTCATCATCTACACCCCCATCTTTATGTATCATAGACCCTAGGTACTTGAAACAATCCTTTGAGGGGAGAACGTGTCCTTCTATGCATACTTCTACATCTTCATCGTTTTGGTTCCCATTGAAGTTTGAACATAAATACTATGTCTTTTCAATATTGATCCTTAAACCTTTTTCTTCCAAAGCAGTCTTCCAGGTAGCCAGTCTACTATTCAACTCAGATTTTGTTTCAGCAACTAAGACAATGTCGTTAGCGAAAAGCATACACCACGGTACACCGTCTGGTGTCGCACAATAGATGTCGTCCATGATCAAGGCGAAGATGTAAGGGCTAAGAGCCGACCCCTGGTGGAGTCCGATTTCCACTGGGAATGCCTCGGTGTCGCCAACTGTAGTCCTGACGTAAGTAGTAGATCTACAGTACATATCACGAATCGCCCGGATATAAGCAGTTGGGATCCGTCTCGTTTCCAAAGTCTTCCAGATCGTATCACGGGGAACACTATCATAAGCCTTCTCAAGGTCAATGAACGCCATGTGAAGATCTCTAGACTTTTCCCTATATTTCTCCATAAGCCGTCGAAGTAGATGAATCGCCTCCGTGGTAGACCTGCCTGGCATAAAGCCAAATTGGTTTTCCGAAACCCTAGTAACTTGTCTCAACCTAGCCTCTATCACCCTTTCCCATAGCTTCATGGTATGGCTGAGGAGTTTAATACCTCTGTAGTTACCACAACGTTGGGGATCTACTTTATTTTTATAGATTGGTATCACCGTAGACTCTCTCCATTCCTCTGGCATCTTGGCAGTCTCTAAAATAATATTAAAGATGTTGGTCAACCACTTAACTCCCTCTTCTCCTAGGGCCAACCACACAGTGATAGGAATTTGATCAGGACCGACAGCTTTGTCCCTTCCCATCTTTCTAAGAGCCATTTTGACTTCCTCAAACCCAATCCTACTTGTAGGGCAGTCATTGGCCGTAGTATGATAGTCGGCTAACCCATCAACGATACTATCTCTACATGGAGAGGCACCGTCATTAAATAAGCCAAAGAAGTAACTACCCCAAACCCTCTTAATATCGTGATCTTTCGCTAAAAGAACACCATTGTTGTCCTTAATAAACCTAATGTTACCTAGATCCTTTTTCCTAATCTCCCTAGATTTTGCAAGTCTGAAGATGTCATTTTGTCCTTCATTGGTGTCTAATCTCTTGTACATTTCCTCGTATGCCTTATCCTTTGCTTTAGCTACCGTTTTCTTGGCTTCCCGCTTTGCCTCCTGGTATCTTTGTTTAGCTCTCGACCTTTCTTCGTCGTCATTGCATTGTAGAAACTCCTTGAAGCAAGTTTTTTTTGTCTTCACCTTAGTTTGGACTTCGTCGTTCCACCACCACGATTCTTTATGTTCCTTGGCCTTCCCCGTCGACAACCCAAGGGTATTTTTGCCAACATCTCTGATGGAATTTGCCATATTTTTCCATAACATATCTGCATTTTTTGAGTTTGTAGTTTCAAAACTTGTATTAGACAAAACCTTACTCCTAAAGTCATCAGTTGTCGCTCCATGTAAGTTCTTCCAGAGGATCCTAGGTTTACCAAGTTTAGCCCTCCTATGAGTGCTCCGCCCGTGGGGTACGCGATACACCAAAACCAACAATTTGTGTTGTGATGCACATGCCTCTTCAGGGAACACCTTACAGTCAATGCAAGCACATCGTTCCTGATTTCTAATCAAGATGTAGTCGATTTGGGTACAATGTCCCCCGCTATGAAACGTAATCAAGTTCGCATCTCTCTTATTAAAGAAGGAGTTAGTGATCACCAAATCGTGAGCAGTAGCAAAATCAAGCAACGTACGCCCCCCATCGTTCCTGCTACCATAACCGAAACCCCCATGAACACCGTCATACCCGTCGGTTGCACTTCCTATATGGCCATTGAAGTCTCCCCCTATGAAAACTCTTTGGTCCTCCGGAATGCTCCTAAGTATATCATCTAACTGATCCCAGAAGCAACGTTTCTCCCCCTCCCCTAGGCCAACGTGTGGGGCGTACACTGAAAGGACATTCACTACTTCCTCTTCTATAATAACCTTAATCATCATGATCCTATCCCGGTATCTGCAAACTTCAACTACATTTTCCTTGTGCCTAGAGGATGCCAAGATACCCACCCCATTTCTAGCGTTATCTACGCCTGAATACCACAACTTGTACCCATTACACTCTCTTGCGCGAGACCCTTTCCACCTAGTCTCCTGAATACATGCAAAATCTATTTTTCTATTATTAAGTACGTCGGTCAGCTCCAGCAGCCTAGCATTTAATGTGCCTACATTCAGCGAGCAAACTCTTAATCTAGTCTCCTTGTCACCACTCTGTCGAGCCCTCCCCCTATACGCCCCATGGGATCTAAAAGAATGACATGACCTCAAGTAATCATCTGTAACCGAAGCTATGAGGAACTATGAAAAAAGAATCCAAATAAGACAGAAGATGCACTAATAAAACGCTAGAGAATTGAGGAGTACTAAAAATCCTAGTTGGTTACTTAATAGGATTTTAAGAAAAAATAATACTATCTTATTTAACTATAGGCCAATATCTAGAAACTATAATTTAAAATGTTTAATAAATATCCGAGCTAAGCAAAAAAGGATTAAAATTGTAACACGAGATATAAGAGTAATGAAATCCTACTCAACTAATTGAAAAACATCAAACCCAAAGCTGGTAAAAAAAAGATCAGTATAAAAACAAGAGAAAAAACAGCAAGAAGCTAAGTCAAAGAAAGCAGATCCAACAACAACAAGATTAAGAAATATTAAGTACAAAAATATGCAAGGGATATGCAAAACAACGACAGAGCTAAAAAGGATATATCAAAATTCGTGGATGCGAAATTAACAATCTTTGTTCAGATAAAAATCTGATAAAAACCGTGCTATAACACAAAATCAAACCTTTACCTATCAAGAAATTAGCATGCAAAATCTTATGAAATTAGAAGAAAAAGAGAAAATCCAGAATTTTTGTTCAGAAATTAACAACTTAAGATCACACATAACCATATAAGGAAAATGATAAAAAAACCTTAACCAAATAAATTTGAACAAAAAGTATATACAAACATAATTGTATTGGTAAATGAATCATAAAATAAGATTAAATTATTGAAAGATTATCGGTAAACCGCAAATCAAATTCAAACGACTTGAGAAAACTATTTATGAACTTAAATCGTGTATCCAAATTCAATTTGAAGGTTTAAAGCAAGAAAGATCAACATAATAACAAACAAACTTCATCTCGATCAATTGTGGAATGTCAAATCAAACCCAAAGAAAAATGATAAATAAAAAAAACGGTAAAACAATTTAAAACGTTCTAAAAGTATAGGAAAAAGTGTCATAAATACATACTTATTGAAAATTTAATAAACAATAAAAAAACATAAATTTGATATAAAAAAATAAATAAAAAAACAATAAATACCGATTATCAACAAGACAACGACCAACATTAAAATGATTGTCGTTGATGATAAAAAAAATAAAGAAGAAGAACTAGCGGTGACATAAAAAAATAATTATTTATTTTTTAATAAATTTAAAGTACTTACAAGTGATAATATATGTTTTAAAAAATTTTAATTATAATTTTTAGTGCTATGAAAACTGTAAAAATATTCGGCCGTTCTTTATCTTCATGCAATTATTTTGTCAACTAATACAATAATTGTCTCTTTGTATATTATATAATCTATAATAATAATAAAAGAGAAAGAGCACAAATAGTGGCAGAGGGCACAACTTTATAAGCCCGTGTGCTTAGATTTGTGTATACAAATCGTGGTAAGTTTATTGTAAGGAAAAGCAAGAAAGCAGAACTGGAGCGACATGGTAGGATCTTCTTCCCAAACACAATCATTGGTTTCCACCATGAACTCCGATAACTTGGATAAAGAACGTCTAGATTTGATGAAGATCGATCAAGAAGATGACGATAACAATAAGAGCAACCAAGATATGATCAGCGCTAAGAAGAATAAGAAGAATCGGGTGTTGCTGGAGGCGGTGGATGAACTGAAGAGGACAAAGAGCTTAACCGGTGACGACCTAGACGAACTAAAAGGGTGTTTAGATCTGGGGTTTGGCTTCAGCTACGACGAAATTCCCGAGCTTTGCAACACCTTACCTGCACTTGAGCTGTGTTACTCTATGTCTCCTACTAACACATCTCCGGACACCACCGTCCCCAATTGGAAGATCTCTACTCCTGGTCCGTCGTTTATTTTTCTTACCATCATTTTTGTTTTGTTTTTCCTTTTTATGTTTCATTCCGTTTTCTATCAGATCTCGTTTTTATTAGGAATTCGGTTGATGATAAGCTCTGGCTTATTGCCTTTCTTTTCCGTTGTTGAAGTGTTATATCATATATGACATGCTTTTTTGCTAGATGAAATCAGGGTTTAGTGAAGAAAAAAACATCTAAGAGGATTCGATTCATTTTTAGGCCATAGGAGTAGAAAACCAGATGCCTCAGTTCAGTTTGAAAAATCTGAAAAACTGAACCCAACCCAGTTCTAGATCAGGAATTTAAATTGCGGTTGCGTTTATTGTGATTGCAGATATAATTTATACTATTGCAGTTATTGTGAGTATCGGGTAGTGCAATAACGGTTTCGGACGATACATTTCTGTTATATAACGATAGCGGGTATCACGGTCATGCTATTCTGCTAGATGAAATTGAGATTTGTTGTTGGACATGGAGTTTCTCATTCTGATAGTAATTACTTACAAGTTTGATTCATCTATACCTTGCAAAACCATGTAAATAGAGAATGGGTTTTAACCTTAAGCGTCTTTTTTGTGTATATATATACATTACAGGTGACCATCCAGAAGATGTTAAAGCAAGGCTTAAATTCTGGGCACAAGCTGTGGCCTGCACTGTCAAACTATGCAACTAAAGGATTCAAGAACAATCATTGGAAAATTCTTAACGATGATCATATCAGCTACATGAACCCTTACGTTCTGCCGATCCATGGCAGTTGGGGGGATGAAATTTCCTGCAATTGTTGGAAATGGACCAGCCAAAAATCTAAACATGGATCAGGTTTGGGATTAGACAATGCTAGAACCAGTCTTGACTTAATTCTGTGGGGAGTAGGACGTATACTATATCTATTGTATCCAGTCTTCTATGAACAAAATATTGCTTTTATTAGCTTATATTCTCAGTTTCTCACTGCTACTATGATTAGTTGGTGTTTGATATATGTATGTATAGCAATGAGGTCCAACAGTGTGTTGGTTTTGTATGCAGTTGTGTGAGCTTTACCAACTAGCTGGGGAACTCTGCATTTGGTGAGGTAACAACCTAATGCATTCACATCATCTCAGCTTTGCCAACAATAAACTCATTTTATCAATAGAAGCAGGGATGGATCGAGAGGGCGGCACAGTCTTTATTTCTAAAAGTTTCAAATTATCATATATTTTTAATATTTTCCTTGTATTTTTTATTGTTTGTTTGTCTTTCAAGATTTTTATAAGTTCGTCCTCTAATATAAAATCACGTGTCTTTCCTTGAATAAACGAATACTCGTATATTCTTAGTGGTGCTGTGAAGCAGTTGAGAGTTGAGAACGAGGAGAAAGAAAAATAAGGGTGAGCATGTATCTCTTTCAAGTTTATGATTTGTCCCATGTTCATGTTCATCGCTTCTACTCTTTCTAGTCTGGATACTTGCTACTTACAACCAATATTATTGGTGGGAGATTTAAGGACTTAATGGTCAACTCAAATTTCTTTCTTACGGAGCTAAAGTTTGGGCCTTAGAATCTCGATTCGAGCTCGAACTCATCCTTACGTATGTTATGTGTTTTGGAAGGTTTTGTGTTCAAACCACTTTTCAATTTAATTTTGAGTCCGAGAAGACGAAAATTTAAAAGAAAATCAGATGATGGTTGTTGAAAAATAGATTGTTGCAAAACAAAATATTAATATTGATTAAGAAAAATAATTTAAACGAGATATATTAATTCATAGTTGTGTCGTAAAAGAATTATTGTCTTAAAAGTAAATTTACTCTGATTAGTGTAATGGTTGAAATTGGACGTTGGCCCTTGAAGTTTACATAACTCTTTAATTTTTGTACACCTAATATCAAAGTGAAAATCAGTTGATATTGCTCTTTTAAAAATATTTTCTCTTGGTTATAATCCGAACGATCTAAAATAATATTCTAAAAACAAAATGAAAGAGTTTTGTAATGACAAGAAGAAGTGAGAAACTTCTTTTATTGTTGTATATATTAAATAAAAAACTAATCTTTATTTATACGCTCACAATAGGAATAAAATGATAAAAAAAATCAATAGTCGTTACAAAATAATTAATTATCATAGACATTATTTTAATGATCATAAAACATATTAAATATGTTATAGCAGTTAATAGTGATGAAATCAAGAAGATATTTAAAGGAAAACATGATAACAACAAAAGCAAAATCTTCAACTTAAGTATTAATAAACTATCTATAATTAATATATAACGAAATTAACATTACGTTACTTCTAGTAACGGTTGTGAATGGTGAGTAACTGATATATCAAATATTGATAATGTTAGTGATCAAATCATTTCATTTAAAACATTAGTAAGGAAATAGAAATATACTCAAACATTAGTGACCATTTGTGAATTTTTCCCAATTATTTTGCCTAAGTATAGAAATGGTCGAAGGGTCTCTGCTTGCCCTTTCTTTTTCTCAATCTCGTCGCCTCCAGCCTCCGTTCTCTCCCCTTTCCGATAAAAAAAAAACCTCCAAAAGAAGAAGAATCAAATGGAGGAGGTGTGCGAGGGAAAGGATTTCTCCTTCCCTTCCCAAGAGGAGCTCATACTGTCGTACTGGGCTCGAATAGATGCTTTTAAGGGTCAGCTTGCTCGCACTCAAAACTTGCCTGAATACATCTTTTACGATGGCCCACCCTTCGCTACCGGACTCCCTCATTACGGTCACATCCTTGCTGGGACCATTAAAGATATCGTCACTCGCTACCAGTCAATGACTGGTCACCATGTCACCCGTCGCTTCGGTTGGGACTGCCATGGTCTCCCTGTAGAGAATGAGATCGACTGCAAGCTCGGAATTAAGCGCCGCGATCAAATTCTCGAAATGGGCATTGATAAGTACAACGAGGAGTGCCGGAGTATCGTCACTCGGTATGTCGAGGAGTGGGAGAAGATCGTTACCAGGACTGGCCGTTGGATTGATTTCAAGAATGATTATAAGACTATGGACTTGAAGTTTATGGAGTCTCTGTGGTGGGTGTTTGGCCAGCTTTACCAAAAAGGACTTATCTATAAAGGATTTAAGGTCTGTTTAGAATTACATTCCATTTTTTCTTGCTTTTGCTTCCATCAAAATTTCTTTTTTTAACAAGTTTGTTGTCCTGCAGGTCATGCCTTATAGTACTGGGTGCAAGACCCCACTATCAAATTTTGAAGCCGGGGAGAACTACAAGGTATTTTACTTCATTTTAATATCTCTCTAGTTATTTTTACTCAAGTTCCTATTACAATTTGGTCTATTAGTTCTCTGATGACCATTCGGAAATGTTCCAAGTTCAATACAAATCCTTTTTTTCCCTCTTTTAATCCAACCATGTCTAACAACTCTTGAATGTGCAGTCTGTGCCTGATCCTGAAATAATGGTGACTTTCCCCATAGTTGGTGAGCCAGATAATGCTGCTTTCGTGGCTTGGACGACAACTCCATGGACCCTTCCTAGTAATCTTGCACTTTGTGTCAATGCAAATTTTGTCTATGTGAAGGTCTGTTGCCTTCCACTTGTTTACTTATTTAGGTCAGCAGCACAAGATGGTCAATTTTTTATCATGTCATATCTACATCATTTTGGGTTAAATCAATGCACACTCTTAGTTTTTTTTATACATTGAACTGCTTGTTAGTTTTTTTTCTTGATTCACACCTGACAAATCTGCTGCTCTGTCATGCTTCCCGTAGACGTTTTACTATGCTAATACTAATATTTTCTTAATTTATGTTTTATCCCTCAAGTTGTTAAATAGCTCTTCCATTCAAATAGATGTAGCTTTTACAAAGGAATGGGATCATAATATTGAAGTGCATGAACAGTTTTTCCTTCTCCTTGCACTTTCGTAGTTGTTGCATGGGGCATAAATAGTTGCATCTTCTTTTATTTTTAAGGCATGACTACCTGCATGATGTAGATATGACTTTCTTCCTAAAGATATATGGGTTTTGTAATTATATTTCAGGTTTGCAATAAGTACTCTGGAAAAATCTATGTGGTTGCCGAGTCAAGGTTGTCTGAACTTCCAACTGAGAAACCAAAGTCGAATTCTGCTAATGTACCTTCGGTTGATTCCAAGAAATCTAAGAGCAAAGGATCTTCTAGAGAAAAGACTAAAGATTCTGCACCCGATTCCTTTGAGGTCCTAGAAAAAATTTTCGGGACTTCATTAGTGGGGAAAAAGTGAGTATTCATGCTTATTATAGTTATCCGTTCTTGGTCGTAGCTGACTATAAAAGAACTCCAATTGCTCTGCATCCTAGCAGTTCTTCTGGGAATTATTAAGTGGTGATACTAGCTTTAGGCAACTTGATTCATATGTTAAGGATCCCCATGTGGGAGATCTCTAGTATGCTATATTGTATTGTAATTGGTCATCATAAGTAGGAATGAAATGCAGCATGTGCAGCATTAAGTGGAACATATATAAGCTGCAGAGCCGTCGATTGATATTTGGCTGCTAGTTCTAGTGTTCTAGAGAACATTGAAATTTGTGACTGTTTCTTGTGATATTTAAATTGGTTTGAGCCAATGCAAGCTTCTTTTATAGTAGGATACTGAGAGGAGCATGTGTTGCAGGTATGAACCATTGTTCAACTACTTCTTGGAGTTTTCAGATGTTGCTTTTAGGGTAATAGCTAACAATTATGTGACAGATGACAGTGGTACTGGAATCGTACACTGTGCTCCTGCATTTGGTGAAGATGATTACCGGGTTTGCATTGAAAATCAAATAATCAATAAGGTTTGCTCTAAGTACTTTATCTGACTGTATTTCCTCCAGCTATAATGTTTGTTTAAACTTGATATTTTGATGTATAAGTTGATACACTTTGCATATTTTTGTTATGAACTTTATGCTCTGGTTGTCTATGGAACATGAGAGGCTGGTGAATAACATTTGCTTCCATAAGAAATTGAAGAATTCCTTGGGAATCCTACAATATCCATTCATTATTTTCTCTCTCAAACTTTCAACATGAGTGAGAAAGGTAGAGAGAGAAAGAGAGAGTTTGTATCCAGAAGTTCAACCTCCGATGAGGAATGGACCGTCTTTGTTGATAATCTTAGTAAGAGAGTTACTAGAAGTGAATTAAGAGAGATTTTCAATTATTATGGTAGAGTTGTGAGGGTCTTTATTCCAAGTTTTACAGATAAACCGAATTATAAATCATCCACGTTTGCTTTTGTGCAATTTGCGTTGGAGGCTGGTAGAAGAAGAGCTGTTCAATACGTTAATGGAACGCTGATTGACGGGAAGAGAGTCTCAGTGGGGGTCGCAAGATATAAGAAGGATAGGAGGAGTGAACCAGTTGGGAAGAACTATCAGTGGGAAGGAAACAAGTCAGTTAGAGAGGTCAAAGGTAAACAACAGGTGGTTCTGGATAAATCGAGAAGCTTGAGGGATGGCCGATCGTTTCAGGAGGTGCTGAAAGTGGATATCAGAAGGGGATTGGAGCAGGATGCAGTGGAAAAGCAGGGAGGTCATGAGAAGAAAGCAAATGGTTTAAGGGATGTATGGAATATGCACATTCCGTCTGAAGATTCACACTGGGTGAAAAATGCTTTAACAGGGGTTATCAAATATCCCTTTCAGCTTGATTCGCTGAAAGTGGCTATGAAAAATGAGGGGTTCGAGGTCAAATTGGTAAATTGGGGATATGCTCGGAATGATTGTATTGTTATGTTCAATTCGAGTGAAGAGTTTGTAGAGGTATGGTCGAATCGCCAAGAGAAGTTATCTTCTTGGTTTCATTGGGTATCTCCGTTGTTGAATGAGGGAGGTGTTCCTTCGGCGTATTGTTTGGTTGAGTTGGTAGGATTACCATTTCTGTGCTGGTTGGAACATTTCTTGGAGAAACTTGCAGGTACGTGGGGGGAGTTCGTTAGTATCATGGAGGAGACTAGAAAGAGAGAGGATCTCTCTGCAGCGAGACTGTTGTTAAGGGTTGCTAGTCCCTTTGACGTTCCCGAATTTACAAATGTATATGGTAGATCCTTTAAAGTCAAAATTAATTCGGGATCGAAGTGTACTAATTTCTCAATTGCAATAGAAGAAGAGTGGAAGAAGGTCTCAGTAGAAGGGTACTGTGCAGATCCTTCGAAGGAGGAAGAAGATGGAAGTTTTGAGAAGGTAAATTATGAGGAGGAAGTTCGGTCCAAGGAGGGCACATGTTTTCAGCAAACACAAGATAGTGGATGCTATGAAAGAGTTGGGGAACATTCTAGGAATAATAAATCAGGCACGGAACTCAAAACTAATGGGTTGTCAGTTAATTTAGTGGATGGCCACAGTGCTGATTTTTTAAAGGAGGTCGTTGAGGGAAGTGGGGCTAAGGTAGGCAGGAGGTATGAGAAAAGTAATGACAGCGGGTTGAACGATG